TCTGGAAACGTGATTCATCGGACCACATGACTTTTTTTCCAATGCTCCACTATCCAATCCTTGTGTTCCTGTGCGAATTGGAGACGTTTTATCTTGTTAACTGCAGACAGCAAAGGTGTTCGAACAGGCTTTGGCTTCCATATACCATCCGATGCAGTGTACGGCGAACAGTGCGTTCAGAGATCATTTGAGAGGATCCCTGATTAAGATCTGCAGTAATTTGATGCACTGTTGCCCTTCTGTTGTCTTGTACCAGTCTTGCCACTCTCCGTTCTGCCCTAACATTGGCTAGTCGCTGATGCCACAATTCGCACGTTCAGACCCAGATTTTCGTCTGACAGTCCAGTCTTTAAACACTTTAACAACAGCTGCTCTTGAACATTTAACAAATTCTGCTGTTTTTGATACTTGCTCCATGGCTCCGAGCGCCAACAATCATCCCACGTTCAAAGGCTGTTAAATTGCGTTGTTTACCCATATCTTCAGAAAAAATCACTTCTACTGTCGTGGTAAACAACCTGCTTCCCTATTTATAGTGGTCTGGCCCTATAGCAACTTCAGCATGAAATTATAGCTAATTTGCCACAAACGTCAGGTCGTCATAATAATCTGGCCACTCAGTGTATATGGAGGTTGACTATGTTGTTTAAACTACATTACTGTTAAGTGCATTGTGTTGGGCTGTGTATTATTTGGTATACCGTGTTTACAGTGCATAGATCCAAGTCCTTTTTAGAGCAACCATTTTGTGTGTGTCAACAACTTCAGTTGCTGTTGAGCTGCTGGAAAAATTGTCAACCAGTTACCCCCATACTCAGAATCTCAGTACCAGTTTGGCAACATTTCTGGCTTTAGGGTGATTTTGTCTGGTGGGGCCATACCCCCTTCATGGTTTTGTGGCCTGTGCTGTATCACAGTGGCAGATTCCCAGCCACCATTTTTTGCTGCAAAGAAGGACATGTCTCTGTGTCTCCTGACCATGCCATCAGTGGGAGAGTTATGATCTCAAACACATGGTACAGCAAACCTGGAAAGGGACATTACACGTAACACTGGGTACATTTTATTGCACCTGGGAAAGATGCAGGATGGGGCATACTGCTGTAGCTGGTGATGCTGGGTGACCGGAGGCACACTGAACCAGAGATTATAGCAACTTATTGGGGTAGGCATAGAGGTGTCTGACCCCATGCAATCTTGTGTCAAATAAGGCTGTGTGTGACAATGGCACCACCCCCTGCAGGGAATGTCCACACATGTGCCTTGGCTGGATTCTGAATCTGGTGGTGTCAGTGGCTCCTGATTCAGGATGCATGTACCCTCTTGTTACCATTCAAAGAGGTGACCAGAATGTTGACCAGCAAAAAGGTAGAAATTAGCAACCTGATCCCTCTGGTGTTCCTGCTGGAACAATAAAATAGTGTAATAGACCTGGCACTAGAGGCACTGCAGAAGGAAGAAGGACATCCTGTTGCCAGCAGGATCTTTTAAATATGAGCTACAGCAGCAGACATTGGAATTGTATGAGGAGGAGGCTTGGTGTGATGTTGGTGAAAAGGAGGAGTACATGGAGCAAGGTTACGGTTCACCCCTCCATGCCCCGGGAGTTGTATGTTGGTGGGGTGAGACAAGTAACACTGTTGCCCTCAGTGACACTGAGGAATGGGGTCCTCTGCTGCAGGCAGTGTGGGGCAAATGGGCTCACTTATACTGAAGAGCTTGTCCAAAGACCCCAGAATTCAGTACATGAAGTAGAAGCATCATTACTGGTTGGTCACCCTTTTGGATCCCCAATACGAGGCAAAAATCCCATGCTGTCATAGAGGGAGAAAAAAAGTGTGCAACTTGGAGTAGATGCTGCAAAAGAACCTCTTAGCAACCTTTCTAGGGAGTGGCATGATCCCCTTTCATGGCCAACATGCCTGTAATCTTCACATTCCTGAAAGGGGAAGCAACGATGGTGGTGGTAGCATCAGCATTGTTTTTATGCATTTTGTGGAACATACAGTATTGGACTTCCTGCTGGCAGAATTCACAGGCAGCACCTCTGAAACTGCAGCCTACTGAAGATGCTTACTTACTATGCATAAAGTCTGTACAATTTTCTGGCTGTTTTCTTTGAAATTAAACACATTTTTTTTACTTCACAATTAAAATCTGCCTGGTCGTGGTCTCTTAAATTGCAGCCCAGTAAAAAGGCTGATATAGATTGCATATAGTCTGTACAATAATACTAACTTTTGTCTCAGAAGTAATACAAACCTTTATTTCATGATAAAACCTGCCTTGTCACTCCCTCTTACATTGTGGTTAGAAAACCTACCTACATAATGAACCACAAGTCTGTTCAATATTTCTGAATAATACATTCTTATTTTTAATTTATGATAAAAGTGCCTAGACTCTCCCTATTCAAACTGCTCACATACTCTTCAGCCACAGTATCAGATATGTTGCTATTGTCTCTGAAATACGGCACTCTAATTTCTATTTCAGGATTAAAACTACCTCATTTTTGGAATGTAGTATGTATGTAGACAGTACTGGTAGTTGGTCTCTGAGGAATACAGCACACTCATGTGCAGGCATAGAGAGAGAGTCTTCCACACATGTAAATTCCATCTCATGAACTGGACTTTACATTGGTCTCTCTTCACTCCAAGTGAATAAAAAGAGCACTTGGGAAGTCAAGGGAAGGTAATATCAGCTGCTGAAGGATCTACAACCCACTGGTTTTCCTTGTTTGTTTTATAATTCATTCATTTCAAAGCTTAACACCATATGTCTGATTTGTAATATAATGCTGAAACAAGTTTGAAACCAAGAATACTTTCAATGAACGTAAAGCTAAACTTCAACTGTATTCAGTATTAGACCACTAATGTACCTTTATAAATGCAATCAGTGTAAATGTGGTTTTATCATTTTGCAGTCCATTGTTAAGGTCCCCACACGCCGTACGATAATCGTGGGAAATCCCACGATCGTACGATTATCGTAAGGTGTGTGGAAACCGTGCGACCTCTACTACTGTAAGGTCACACGACTTTTAACTTACGGACATGTTCATACAATGTTCGGCGGGTTTGTGGCATGTTCGTACGATACAAGCCGTACGGGCCGGTGTGCGCAAGCGCACACTGCCCGTTCGGCATTGCGGTCATCGGAAGCCCGTCCCTCAGGGGGCATGGCTTGCGATCATCGCAAGTACGATCTGCCTATGCAAGATAGGCAGATCGTAAGTTTTTATAAGTACCTTACAACCATCGCAAGACAAAAGTCTTGCGATGGTTGTAAGGTGTGTGCCCAGCCTTAGGCAGAGCTTAGAGTGGGAGAGGGGAGAGTAGCATAAGAAGTTAAGCAGTTGTGCTGCAGTAGTCATGTGATAGGAGGAGGGAGCAGAGCATCATAAAGATGACTTAATTAGTGTGATACTTCTCCTTTTACTGCCAAGTCACAGGAAAGACCTGCTTAACAAGACTTTTAACCTCCCTGGCGATAGGATTATCTCAGTATTTTTTCTTTTTTCTTTCTATTTTTTACTTTTGAATTTCTCGCCAGTTCCGCCCCCTGCGATGCTGGCGTTTTTGCAGGTAAGGAACCTGGAGGGCACCCGAGTGTGGCTCGGGGTTACCACTTTTGGTACGGAAAATTAACCCCGAGCCACACTTGCGATTGCCACCAGGAAGGTTAAGTGTTATTTAACTGCAGCAGGGAAGAGTCAGTTTTACTGCCCTGTCAGATAGTCTATACTATGGGCAGACCATGTAAATTAAATGGACCTTTGGCAGGTAAACCAGTTTCCATATATGCATTTCATATGCATATTTAATTGTTTGCCTGGGGTTGAACTTCAATCTGGTAAATATCAGGAATAACTTAAACATGGAAAATAATTTCCACTACTTTAAAGTGAAGCTTGCAAATCACATTACATAATTATGCTTACTTTATCATTTTGATTGTGTGGTAAAGTCTTACAGTATCCCAAACCAACTGAAAACTGAAATGTTAAATGTTTGGATAAGAGCTGAAACTCAGAAAATCACACATTTGCATCCAGAACATTTTCTATGAATTATCACATGCTCTAGGGCCATTAAAACAAATGCTGTACGAGGGGGCGCATGCGCGCGGCTGCCAAATTCCACCACCAGAAAGTTCCCCCGGACATAACTTGGGTATTCGCATGCCTAGAAATTCACTGATAATATGTCCCCCGAAATGCAGGGATACACACATCCAAGCGCTTTTATTGTTTATTCTTTAATTGACAATGGTAGATGTTTCTACATTCCAGGATTCGACCCGTGCATGTAATACTGTCGATTACATTGATGCAATGTGAATGTTACATGCTTTGATTTGATTTGATTTGTTATGATATTGTCATTCTGATGCTTCTTACCTTAAATCAATAAAAATATTTGAAACAAAACAAATGCTGTACATTCACAAAGTGACATTTTGATTAGTAATTAAAAGCTAAGAGGTTATTTTGAAATTAAAAGAAGCGATTATGATGGAAACATTAAGAAGCAGAGTCCAGCCACACTAGACATTAAAAACGTAATGGTACTGCCTTCCACCTCACTAGTTATGTACTTAAAGTGTACTTCTACTTCATGTTCCTCCGTAGCTCTCCATCCCAGGAATAATTCCTGACCACCTGCCTGCCTGGTCAGGCAACTCACACATAATGCACCCTCCTCCAGGCAGGAGGGTTTGGGGAGAATGAGACTTGGTCAGACCAAGATATTTATGTCCTCCCCCAGCATGCACCATTGGCCATGAAACTCCTAGTGATTGGCTGGAGGGACAGAGATATCCATATTGCCCCATTATTGGTTCCTCTGCTCTGTGGCAAGGATTGCCTAAAGACAGACAGAGTATGAGATGGCCAGACATATTGGAGTAGGTAGTTCCAGAAAAAGGGAGAGGCTCTGGAGAAATTCTGGAGGTAAGCATGGGAGAAAGTGACGAGGGGGAGAGAGCAAGAGGTCATAGGAGAAGCAAAGAGGATGGGGTGGTGGCCACTGAGTAGTTGGTAAAGTGAATACGTCTTGCAACAGCATTCATGATAGACTGAATGTATAGCCTGTGTAAAGGTTGGCCAATGAGGAGGGAACTGCAATAGTTGAGTTAACAAATAACAATTTGTGGTGCCATTTGGTAAGAAGGGGTGAATTTTGGAAATGTTGTCGAGGTTAGGACAGCAAGATTTGGGCAGATATTGGATGGGGGGGTTGAAAACCAGAGGTCAAAATCCAGAATTACACCTAGCTCCTTGGCCAGAGATGAAAACATGATTGTTGTGCGGTTGCTCTCAATGGAAAAGTTGGAGGGGGCATTGGGAAAGAAATGCCCCAGTAAGTCAAACCAGACCCCTACGCACCATCTCGGGCAGGACTCATTGGCACTGATGATCTTTCAATAAACTGATTCAGCTTGGAACAGAGTGCGGCCAGATTCCTCCCTAACTACAGGCCCTTATGCAGCCTCGGGTTCCAGGAAAGGGAGGGCAGTGAGTGTGCAGCCCACTTTCCTGAACAATATCAGGCCACATGCCTTTCAATATTGGGAGGGTACCACACAATGGAGGATGGGAAAGCCTTTCTCTTGCAAGTAAAAAAACACACACAAACCATGACAAAGTAATTTCATAAACAAATACCCCCAAAAGGGAACAATGTCCCCCAGTGTAAATCCTTTGACACTTACACTGCCCAGTAATTTAAATCCAGCATCAATCATAATGATCCACCACCTAATAAGGTATCTCTGCTGCCTTGCTGACATGACAACCTGCTGGACGACAATATTGCCTTCCACACTACTGCTGTTAAATGACAGCCCGATTTCCGGCTGTTGTTTGTAAACAAACCAGCCAGGGATGCCTTTGTGACACAATTGACCATGTAGTTTTTTCTTTGCACTATGAACACCATCACTATAAAAGTCCTTTATTGCCAAAATGTAAATGGTGCCACCCTATGTAAATCCATTGTCAATCACATCATCCAGTGATGTAGACCCATCATCAATCACAACAACCTGCGACACTATGACTATTACAAGGTACTTGCACTTCCTTTAGGAATTACAATTTCCTTAAAAACACCTGTTGATGGATGGGAACTATGGCAGGGAATCCACAAAAGCTATAAAATTCCAGCAAGTAAAGGGTTCTAACAGATTCTACCTGCAATTGTAGAAATATAACTAATATAATATACTAATATAATATTTACTTTAACTATAAAAATGTATACAAAAATAAATTAATGAAAGCCAATTCTACTTAAGCAATAATTACAACTAAAATAGTTACAATTACCATTTCATTGTAATGCCATTGTCTGATCATTTATGTTCTGTTCTTATAGATATGCATGATCCAAACAATAAGAAACCAGTAATGGTCTACATACATGGAGGTTCCTACATGGAAGGCACTGGAAATATGATTGATGGAAGTATTCTTGCAAGTCATGGAAATGTAATTGTTGTTACTGTCAACTACAGGCTTGGTGTCCTAGGTAAGTCCAGAACTGTGTTAAAATCACACATTACCCTGTTCTTTAATTTGTTTAATCTGTATATAACTACATGCATTTACACCAAATATATTGTTGTACATATGTTCCTGTAAAATCAAGATGGTTAATCTCAATTAAACTACTTCTGGTGATGCTACCAGTTACATAGTTACATAGTATTTGAGGTTGAATAAAGACATTAGTCCATCAAGTCCAACCTATTAGGATCTCATTCTAGGAGTACCCGTACCCCTGTATATTACGGTCCCTTAAGAAATCGTCCAAAAGTTTCTTGAACAATTCCACATTATTTGCTGAAATCACCGCCTGTGGCAGTGAGTTCCAGACCCTAACTGATCTTACTGTGAAGAACCCCCTTCGCACCTTGTGCTGGAATTTTTTTTCCACCAATTTTAGGTTATGGCCTCTAGTTTTTGTAACGGAGTTAATTTTAAACAGTTTATCGCTAATGTTGCTACCACCATTAAACATTTTGTACATGGAAATCATATCCCCCCTTAATCTCCTCACCTCTAATGTGAACATGTTTAAATTTAGTAGCCTCGTCTCGTAGCTCTGGTCCTCCATACCCCTAATTAGTTTGGTTGCCCTTCGCTGGACTTTTTCCAACTCAAGGACATCTTTTCTTAGTACTGGTGACCAGAACTGGACCGCGTACTCCAGATGAGGTCGAACCAATGATCTATAAAGTGGCAAAATTATAGACTTGTCCCTGCAATACATCCCCTTTTTAATACAGGACAAGACCCTGCTAGCTTTGTTTACAGCAGCCTGGCACTGCAAACTACCTTTCAGTTTGTGGTCTACAATGACCCCCAAATCCTTCTCCAGGAGGGTGTATCCATGGGTATTTCCTTTTCTAGAGTGACAACATTTACTCATTTCAAATGCAGCACTATAATAATCTTCTGCAAACCCCTGAGTTGGACTAGAAACAACTATGCCAATGCACAGTACACTTGCATGTTTAACCTTAACCACAATAAAACTGTAATATTCAGCTTCTAGTGGAACATGTACATATCCACAGGAAATTCAAGAAAATGGTCTACAGAATGTGCACAGTGCAGGGGGAGGAGAACATGTAGAAAGTAAGAGAAGAACTAAAAATATTTTAAAAAGTAGAATTTTTAACTTACCTGTAAAATCCTTTTCTTGAAGTACAGGACATAAAAATCACGATGGATTTTTTATATAGCTGTGCCTTCAGGTGATTGAACACTGTCCAGGGCAGTATGAAGTCCATATAACTTCGCCCCCAACCACCAATCCTAAATTATTTGCAAGAAATAGACCACAGATGGGCATAGACTGATAAAATGACTAGGTTATGTCAATCAAATGACACAAAGGGTAAGGCATTAAAAAGTGCATTAACAGGTAAATCTTTCTCTACTGAGTCCTTAGGGGAACCACTAGGTAACCCATTATGCCCACCACCCATTGGTGTACCAGATCCCCCTTTAACTTCAGTCCCCTTTCACCTAGTGTCTGCCGGTACTCACAGTGCAGTATGCCTGCTCTGTCTGGAGCCCAAGTCCTGAGCTCCGTTTGTGTCACTAAGAATGCTCTGTCACTTTGCGCAACCCAGAAAAGAGGGAAGGAGATCTCATCTGGAAGGCACCAGAATTTCAAACACTGCCCCAGCTCTCACCCTGCAGGATGGAATTTTGCAAAGCCATTTCTTTTGTGATCATTTTAAAAGGGTAAGTGGTTTTATTTATAAATTTGTAACTGATAAAAAAATTCCCTGCTTCATTTTAGCAAATGGTAAATTGAGGCATATTGATGAACTGGTGAATGATTGATTCGTCATTCACTCAGATTTTTAGCCATCAACAGATTAATTTAATAAAAAAATGTATTTAATTTGTCATCCTTCTGCACTTCACATCTGCCTATTTGGGCCACACACTCTGCATTCCTTATTGTGTAACTGGAAATTCAGGTGCGTTGTTTGTTTAGTTCTGGATTGAAATGTTTTCCAAATATCATTCGGGATAAGTTTTTGTTGTTAAACATGAAGTTAAAAAAGAAAAAAAACAGCACGGAGTCCCCTTCCCAATTCATACCAGTCCCTTTAGTTCTGGTACAAATTTTAGGGGGGACCCCAATGCCAAAAAAAAAGTATGGGGTCCTCCCTAAAATCCCTTACCAGACCCTTGAACTGAGCAACAGCCTGGCAGAGCAGGAAAGGGGCGGGCGAGAGTGCACCCCCTTGCACCATACTAGGAAACATGCCCTCTACATGGGGAGGGTACTTCCTTGGGGAACCCCTGGAAAAGCACCTTGTCCTCATGTTGATGTGGCCTCTTCCCCATAACCCTGGACTGGTGGTTGTGGGGGTCTGCAGGATGGGGAGCTTATCTGCATCTGGGTGCCCCATTTCATAGAATTAATTCCTAATTATCTAACATCCGAAATTAATGAAAATTTACCGAATCAAATCGATTTTTGGACCCAAATCCCGAAAAATTTAATAACGAAAAATCCGAACAGTTTTTTTTTCCAGCGCACGTCTAGTATTTATTATGTGCCTGTATTGCATTCATTAGCACCAATCACGTTTTAAAAATCTTCCTTAACCCTTATTAAATGGAAAATCATTGATTTTATCAGTGGATGCACATTGATTCCATATGCTTTGTTGTCCGAGTCTGTGCCTGCCACACATTGAAAGCTGTGCATGTGATATTTTAAACTCCTTTTTGATTTGCAAATGCTCCATCTGGTACCCAGAAATGCATACTGTTGCAAAAACCATAGGGAACATGGTGGGGAATGTCACTGATTGCAGCACAATGTAGGAATGCAAATATATCTAGATTGGATTGTTTTTTATGACTATACACCTTTGGTTTTTACATGTACTGGCTAACTAAAGTATATACAATATAAATGTATGCTTACTACAACATTAAAGAGAATATTGAACACTTTGTTTGTAAATAGCTATTAAAACACATTTTGTGTGTGGTGGCATAAATTGAAATTTAGATGTATAAATAAAATAAATAATAAAAAAGATTAGAATACATGGTTAGTAAAACTATTGCACTAGAATCTTTTCAGGAATAATATATTAAGGATATCAGCATGAAACACTTTAATTAGGTTTTTATGAAGAGCTGATGTCATATTGCCCTTGCATAAGAGCTTATAGTAGCATACAATAACTTCCTGGGACTGATAAAGAACATATTTACTTAGTAAAATATGTAAATTGCCACTGATGTCCAATTGTTTAACAGTGCAGTTTAAAGAAACCCTGCTGCTGGGTGCTGGGTGTCAGCAATGCCAGCAGACTCAGGAGGTGTCACTCAATGACAGTCTATAGTATCATCCTTCTCTCTTCCTCCAGCAAATATAAGGTTAGGTAGGGAGGTGAGGGGAGGAACAGAGGAGCGACCAGTAATTAGACATTCCTAGAAGAGGGGAGGGCTTTAATGTGCAACTCCAATCCAATGCTGTGGAATTAAATAGTGAATTATCTTAACAACTTGAAAGCAACATTTTAATTAAAAATAATTTAAAGGAAAACTATGGAGTGAAAATCACTAATCCTCACAGTTTGAGCCGACGTGTGACAATGAAACTGTCGCACGTCGGCTCAATAGATCGGGAAGTGAGCAAACACATATCGTTGCTCCCTTCTCGATCATCTCCCAGCAGAGAGTAGTGGCTGTCAGTCACGGCTCCCTGCAGGGATTCCCCCCATCCGCACTCTGATCCTCCAGCGCTGACTGGAGGAATGGACGGGGAGGGGGTGGGTACAGCTGGCTCTGCCTCTAGCTCACTGTCCCACTGTCACTCACGCAGGTGGGTGGATCTCGACAGTAATGTCGGGATCCATCCCTGCTGTGGCGGTCTCAGTATACTGCCAGCTGTAGCTCGCGATATGCTGAGCTTTGGGTCACGGGAGGACGCTAGTATATGTCCTCGCGGGACCCTTAAGAGAACTATGGGGAAAACACTTACCCCATAGTTCTCTTTTAAGGAAAGGGAAAGGGAAAACACTGCAAATAAGCATATACAATACTTAATATTTCTGTGCAATTAATAGGTGCAGCCTACAGAACTAGTGAAGGGTGTTGAGATGACTAGTCACCAAGATAATATCTACCTTGCTAGATTGACCTGTCTTCTCTAATGGAGATGCTGCCCCTAGGACAGAAAGCCTTTCTCGATACATTGAGGGGGAGAGGAGTCAAGCAAATTTTAGCTGGGGCAGTTGCTGCACTTTATAACAAAAACAAAATCACCCTAAACAACAGCTATAAGAACACCACCTATGGATACTTAGTAGGTGGTAAGTATGATCACTGAATAAAGTAGCTGTAATAACTTAGTGACATTAAACTCTCAGATTTTTTAACATAAACCAATACTGTAATGTGTGCCTTACTGTAATCCATGGTTGTTTCCCTTCTCTTTGCTGCTCTTCCTTTTAAATCCTCATGTCTTCTCATGCAGAGGGAGAACTTCCCTTTTCAGCTCAGGTCCTCTTCCTGTAGTGCTGGCTCTGGTTTCAAGCCTATACAAATCTATACACAGACACTGTCTATCCATTCCTGAGACAAGGCAGTCTGCTGCAAAACAGAAGAAGTTCTGCAGAGCATGAGAACAGATACAGATTTAAAAGGAAGAGCAGCAAAGAGAAGGGAAACAACCATGGATTACAGTAAGGCACACATTACAGTATTGTTTTATGTTAAAAGATCTGAGGGTTTAATGTCACTTTATCTTTAACAACCTAGCTTGGCATAGTGGATACAATTTCAGCAACATATATAAATGTATGATCTTTCTCTTTCTTTAGTGATGTTATCATCCTTAAATCCTTGCTATACATTTTAGTATAAATTAAATGTATCTCCTAAAGCTCACTAATTTTCCACTACTCTGCTGAAATCTCCATCCTCTTAATTCAGCATAATCATTACATTTATGGGCATGACACTTGATCTACTGAATATTAC